CATAAATATGAGACTGCTTCTCATCTTTTTTATCATTTGTAGAGAGTAAACATACATTTAATGGACAACTTTAGCATAGCAGTCAAATTATAAGGTCCTTTTAAGTGTATATTTAGGTAGTTGTGAAGATATACTATACAGGATTTTCTTAAAAAACAATGTATATACTCTTACAAAAATAATCCCTCTTAATCATCACTTATGGCCCACTAGACGTGTGTGGTGTTATCTGCAGCGAGTCTGCCTGTATTATGCCTTATATTTTACACACAGGTGAATCTGGAACTTTATAAAAAGTAGTGACCAGGTAGTAGCAATACACATCCAAGAAGAAATTACAGACACAGCGCAGAAGACGGCAAATAAAGCAAATTGTGATGCCAAGAATGAGTGAATCTGAGGTTGGCTTTCATTTTCACTAGCGAGCACTGAAGGAGAGGACAAGGATAATGATAATTAATATAATATGGCAGAGTTGTAGTTCTATAAAGTACATCTTCATAGGAGTAGTTAAAATTAAAAATACTTTACATTAACAACCACATAAAATGTCCTTATATGTGCTAATGACTACATTGTTATGTGTTATAAACAATTTTTTGCTATATGTTTATATAATGGGTTAGGAGTTGAAGTAAAGAGTTGGTTCTTCTACATTTGATAACATTCATGTCCTATTACTCCATGTTGCCAGCTCGGCTTCTTCTCCGGAGTTTTTGTGCTCCACTGTCTTGCAGGCATAGGCGGCGCTGGGGGGCAGGCTTGGAGGTGCTTCAGCACCCCCAAAGAAGCCCATAGCACCCCCGTAGCACCCCCAAGAAATGCCCAAACAAAATTTCATTTTTTCACTGTCACTGAATAAAATTGTTTTTGTTCAATTGTGTGACATGATCTGGTGGTCATATTATTAATAGGCTATCTATGAATAGGCTAATGCATCAACGATAAATAATGTATTATCGGGTGCCCAATAAGACATTATTTACAGTAGGCAGCACCTCTTGCCTCCGGCATTTGAAGACATACCTGAGGAACAGCAGTGGCAATATGTGCAACAGTAAACTGGCATTCTTGACCATAAACACCAGGAGGACCAAAGATCTGGACGCAGATAAAATCATCTATGCCTTTGCCAGCAATCACAGTAAGAGACGCATCATTCTTCTGTAAAAACATCTAGTGGTGAGTAACAATATATCAGCCTACCATAGGCGCAGTACAGGGATTATTTTTTATTATACTCTGGCATAGTTGATAGTGTTGTTGTGTTGCATTAGTGCAGGCTGTAGACACTTCCTGAGGTTTCTACCATTTAAACTTCTTATGGGGGTGAGTTTTTCCTGATTAGCTGTGAGGGTCCAAAAGACAGAGGGATGTTGTATGCTGTAAAGCCTCTGAGGCAAATTGTTATTTGTGATATTGGGCTTTATAAATAAAATTGATTTAAAAATTGTCCCAACTCAAGTGGATGGAGTCGGTTTGATGAACAATAGAAACACTACAGCCGTTCACGTTCATGGCAGATGACACTGCAAAGATAAAACGCACATGTTTTTACAGACTGCTGACACAGCTGGAACGTTTAGCACGTGCTTGGCACCACAGTTTACACAACATATGTTCACAAGTTTGTGTAGATGCTCACAGTGTTGTATTTATAGTTAGTATTGCACTCATGGTTCTTGGTGTGGATGGCCTTTTACGCAGACATTTCTGAAAGCCAGAAAGGACTGAATGTCATTTTTTTTAGTCAGCAAAGATTTCAGCTAGAAAGTAGAAGAAACTGTATTATAGATGTATGATTTCATGCCTCTGGGTTTTAATGAGCTGTAGCTTTTTGCATGCTTTTACTCCTTTTATTTTTGTATAAAAATAAGAATCCCAGTGATGCAGAATGTCCACAAAGTTGGTGGACTCACAAGAGACAGATTTAAGAAATGAATGGTCAAAAGTGAAGCAGAGATATCTTGATTTTTAGTCTCTAGTTTTGGACATTTTTCATCATACAACCCCCCAAACTCAAGCCCACTTCTCCCAAACCACACTCCTTCAGTTTTCTTTTAAAGGTTTGAAGTCTTAAGTTTCAGGGGTTTACCATTTCCATCTTTCCTTCCTTTCACTTGCTTGCCTCCCTCCTGTCCTTATTTGCTTCCTTCCTCCCTAACATAATTCCTCTTTTCTTCCTTGCTTAATTTATTACTTCTCCTTTCCTCACTTATTGAAATACATCTCTTTGCCCTTTGATTTTTCCCCAGCTCTCTCATTTCACTGCATCTTTCCTCCTCCATTCCATCCTCTCATCCCTCCTTCTGCCCTCATCCCTCTTAAACAGCCCTGGAAGTAACACTTTTGCTAAAAACCCACACTGCTTCTCGCCTCATGTGTTAAGCAGGGATGAAACTCAAACAGATTCTGATTAAAGGCGATACACCTCACTCAAACCCTCATGAATAAAACAGGTGGGTGCGCTCCGGCAAAAAAAAAAAAAGAAAACATAAGCCATCATCTCACCCCGAAATCCATTTTCTAAATTTCCAGCAGCAGTCACAATCATTCAGAGTGCCCACAGCACCCTGCTTCTGTCTCCCCACCCAACATGAAATATTAATGACACCCGCAGTCCACAGGAGCACAGCGCTCCCGGGAAGAGAAAGCACCGCTCGCTGTGTCAAACAACTGCAGTTCCAGGGAAGTTGGCATGTGCGTGTAAGTTGAGGGAGGGTGGGGTAGGATGGATGTATTGAGGGAGTGGCTGTGTGCGATTAAGTAAAGTATGCATGTGTTGCTGTGTCAGTTTATTAATGCATGCATCAGTGTGTGGCTGCGTTAACTCAGCGTTAGTACAACAGCTTGAATGTGCACTTAATGTTTTATGTAAAGATTTATTTGTGCAGAAATAATAATAAGAGCAGAGAGTTGCCATGGTGGCATATTTGTACAGCCTGTGTGCATGTGCAGAGGAGTGTCCTGAGGTGGCCTGCAGCAGTGCTAACTTCCAGGTGCCAGGTTACCTGTTGTGGCACTGCTGGTTTGTTGTTCATTAAATGAACACTAAAGTCACGTTTGAGTTCAATCTTGTAAGTTTAGGATTTGACTATGTTGGAGCTTTCCAAAGCATTGAAGAGGCTGATCCTTCAGATCGATGTTTTGTTTTGTTTTTTTAGCAAACTGACACTCTTTGGTACCATGTTTAGAAAGAGCACTTCATCTTTTCAGACAGACAAATGAAACCCATGCTCACTGAGAGATTCCATTTAAGGAGCTAATCGAACAGTGGCTAGCTAGAACATGATTTTAAGACATCGGCTTTCAAGAAGAAAGGGATAATGCCCTCGGAGGTGTCAATTATCAGGAGCTCATGGAAAACGGGGAGGACAGAACCTTCTAACACAGAGCATTATGTGGCTTATACCATGGTCACTTGCCAAAGAAACAAAAATAAGACCATTTTGCAATAAAGATCTACAGTTTTCCACAAGCCATAAAGCCCAGTTCAGACCAAAGATTCACGACAAGACAAGTTGAAACACACACCTACTTACAATGCACCATTCTGCAATGCTTTAAAAACCTGCCAGTCACACGAATGCAACCAGATGAGACGGTGTATCATCTCTATGCAACAACTCTCTGTACTTCTGTTCTGATTTGCAGCTTTTCAGGTTTATTTTGTGGCTGAATATAATTTGTAGCTTCTTAGAATATGAACGAGGATAGTGATAGTGAGATACTGGCTACAGCTGCATTTGTAGTAGTGACCAGCTGAGTGTCAGGTGACACCATCAGCCAGTTTGAGTAGGGTTGGGTCAGTTCTTGGTAATACCAATTCGGTTCGGTACTCCGTCTTGGACCGGGTTTTTTTTTTTGGAGACCAACCGGACCGCATACGTCAGGCCCAAACATACTCAGGCGGAACGTACGCGGAGCGGACTCCACGTCTGGACTGAAAGCAGACGTCCGCAAGCCCTGTACGCGCAAAGCTCAGACTTTACAACCATGCGGACTCCGCTCCGCACACCAGTGTCACAAAAAAGACTGCTCGGCATGTATTTTTCACATCGCAGGGATTTTTCATGGACATTTTTACAGGAAACTACAACGTGGAAGTGCGCTCGACTGGAAGTCCGAATGAGTGGGGACATTCCTCGCGGAGTCCGCTCCGCTTATAGTACGCCCGAGTCTGTGAGAACCTACGTGTCTGCCTCTTCGCCAAGCGTACAGCGAGCAGGAGAGAGAGGGGGGTGGGGTGGGGACTGAGCTAGGGGGTGCGAGTGTGCATGCGCCGAGGCCTCTACTGTAGCCTGGAGTTTGTTTAACAGTGACGGGGAGTCTGTAATGGCGGACAATTTAGTCTCGAAGAAATCAAAGAATGCGCCAATATGGCAACACTTTGGCTTTGAGTAAGCTGCAAAATTTATTTGTAAGGAATAAAAGAAACAACGTGTTACTGTCACTCTGTTGTCCTATGGTCGTTTTTTATTTTAAATGAGTCAATTGCGCCCCACAGTGGCGAAAATCCGGTATTAACGCCTTGATGCGGTTTTTCACAAAAAACGGACTGTTTTTTTTTTCTTTTCTCATACCGACCCAACCCTAAGCTTGAGTCATGCTCAGATCAGCCAGTTCACACCTCTCAACTTCTCTCTGAAACGTTCTAATATAGTTTCATTTTGTTGCGAATCTTTGGTCTGAACTGGGCTACATGATCGCACACAGTGTAATGCTGTGCAACACCTGAGCTAAGTATGGACCTTTGGCCACATGATGACACAATGATGAGAACCAAGAGACGTGGCTGGGAGCTCTGGGGAAAGCTAGCAAGTGGACCACGAGTTTCACCAGTGAGAGAACACTGGGGACTTGGTTTCTATGGTTACCTGCTGTTAAATATATCTCGCAAACTGCTTTGGAGCAACAGTTATAAGCAGCATGACCTTGATATAATGTGTACAGTTTGATGTGTACATATGTTCTGTATGTGTGAGTCTGCAGGTGCTCACCTCTGCCAGTCTAGACTGTTTATGGCTGACTTCATGTTTGTCGATGGGCGCCAGCTTCGGCAGCGTGTTGCGGTTGTTGGTGAGCGCTCGTGTCAGCCGCGCAAACTTGGTCCATCCTGCAGAAATGAGACATTAAACACAGCTTAGATCACAGTCATGACAACCCAACAACTTTGAGAATGCTTCTCAGCTGCAAACACAAACACAGTCAGATCTCAGACACTATTGTTGATACTGTCCCTGACTCCAGTGGGGACGTACTGGAGTTACAAAATATTCCCACAGCCCCCACTTGTACCTGCCACTACAGGGCTGGAAGGATCTGTGTTTCTCCCAGTGGGTAGTTCATATTTACAATAAACCTGACGTGATGTAAACGCAGCATAACCCCCGGGTTTTATGGCAAACATCCGCCCTGCAGAGAGTGTCCTTGAACACAACTGAATCTCCAGCAGCTGCAGGGTTTCTGCAGGGTGTCCGATGTGCTCTGACCTTCGTGTTGAAGCAGGAGATGAAGGAGAATTTCTCCTTCAGGGGATCAATACCATGAGAGTTATACATTTAGCATGTTTGTCTTGTGAATATGAAGGGTAAGGGGGGAAAGCAACTGTCTGTGGGTACGTATTGAACTTCAAATCATTGAAAATGTATTCTAGCCTTGTCTTAGTGTAGTTATTGCTTTAACCACTTGTATACTCTTTTTGTAATCAGTGCTTACAACCAAGATTGTGTGGAAGATGGTAAACTGGGCACATTAGTTCTTTCCTATGGGATCATGGTTTCACACACGGCAGACAATATGCAATACTATGAAACATGTACACATACACCCAGTGAGTGCTGCAAAATAGTATTTAAATGATAGAACTGAATTTATATTAAACATTTCATAAACACAGCTAATATTGTTTCGGATTACATTCAAGAAATAAAGATTCACGATGGCTTAACTGACTGCCCTCCCCCAAAATATGACCATAAAAATCATTTGTGCAAGCAGCAATTACAACCCATATGTACAGTTATCGTTGGGCAGCAACCTCTAGTGGCTGAGGTGATGCAGTATAAAGAGCGACAAAGTGCGAGTGGGGAGTAGGTGGGGTGGATGGATGAGTCAAACAAACAAACACAGGACTTAATACAAAAAGTATTTATCTTACATAAGAAGACTGAAGTTTTGTAACAAATGTACTTCATTTATCCCAAACCATGATCTTTTCCCTTACCTTATCATGTAGTTTTGTTGCCTAAATCGAACCGCAACCATTTCACGACGTTTACAACAACAGTTAATGAACATTCACAATGTCGTTTTTGTGTCGATCTTCTGCCACCAGTAGGGGCAATAATTCGGGAGACCCTCCTGTAGGTAGGACCAAACAACCTATGTGGTCGTACGGGTTGGAGGACTTGTTGGCTTAACTGTTTCACTGACCAGTATTTTTAGTAGTTTACTTGGGACTCCAAACAACTGCAAAACTCATCTGTAGCCCAGATTTAGCATGACAGGTTAACAGCTACATTACTGGGGCACTTTGCAGTTACTTTTTCTTATTATTGTTTTATTTCTTTGCAGCAACAAAAACACAGGAATGACATTCAGATATGAAGGTAGGGGTGGTAGGGTTGTTTTTACCATTGGCCATCAAACTATATAACTCCTCCCCTTTCTGCAGGACGGACAGATGAAACATTGGACACTAATGTATCATACTACTAATGTTACTCCAAACATCTTTGCTAGCTCCTCTTTCAGCCCCCGGTATTTTTCCAGCTTCTAGTGTTAGTTCTTTCTGATGTGGCTGTCGGTAAGGATTGCTACATCTATCACCACTGCCTTCTTCTATTGTTTGTCCATCTACACGATGTCCGGTTGGTTGGCCATCACCAGTTTGTGTTTGGATCTGGAAGTCCCACATGATCCTAGCTAGGTCTTTCTCAACCACCTTCGGAGGTGTCTTCCATTCTGACCTTGGGACCTCCAGCCCTTACTCAGTGCATTTGTTCCTGAAAACTATGCCAGCCACTTAGTTATGGCGTCCCATGTTCGCTCTTGCTGCCGGCATCTTACACTTTGTTATTATGTGCTGAACTGTCTCAGGAGGATATATGACTTGGCAATGCTGATTCGTGAACCATGTAAACCATAGTAACTCTCTCCTGCCTGCCTGCCTGTGGTGAGACAGGATAGGGAGAGACAAGACTGAGTTACGCTGAGCAGCCAGCAAGTTGCTAAGAGGGTGTGAAAAGATTAGGTTGAAAGGTTTTTTCACCTGCAATTTCTTCACACCTCCATTGTACTTTGTATTATTCATTTTGGCACACTTTCATTGCAGTTGCAGTTTAATGAAAGTAATGAAGGCAATGAGCCCAAAGAGGGAGGGGCTTAAAGATAATGTGACTGGGCCAGTATTGTGCATCCTGATCAATATTCCTGCATTTTCTGCCCAACTTTATATTCCTTTCTGTAACTTTAACTTGTACGTGACCTTTTTATTTGTCACCTCAAAGCCAGTGATGAATACACTCTCGTTTTGGGGACCGATAAGCATTTTATCATACTGTTTTTAAAAGGTGCTATATACATAAAGCTTATTATAAATGCAGTGAAAATGCGCAGCAAGCATTGTGAAAAATTACTGTTTGGAGCCAGAGTTGTGTTTCATCCATTCCTGTTTGTGTCCAAAATTTGAGTTCCAGCTTTTATTATCATATTAGAACCATTACTGCCAAACAAGAAGCCCGTGTTCACTCTCTGTCTGTCTAAATGATACAAGCCTGTTGAGCAGTGGTCATTTTCTGGCCACGGTTTTGGAGGACGGGTGCTCCTACTGTACTGCTCTATAAATAAAATCAAATGTTTGAAAGGGCAGAGAGTAGCACAACAGAGGCACACCACATACAGTAGTCACACATCGTGATCGACCGGACCCTTTGAAGGGACCATTACCAGTAAAAAGTGGACTTTGAAATAGCTTTTAACCCCGAGGCCTCCAGCTGCCTGAACAGCCCCCCCATTTCATTTCAACCATTCAGTTCTCTGTGCAGCAGTATGAGTGAAGCCAAACACAGCACTGTGCTGAGACCCATATAGGATGAATATCAACAGAATACTTTACTTTGCGTCCCAATCACTCGACTCCCCTCCAGGGAAACTGTTGCATTGGCTTTTGTGTAGCTTACTATACATCTTCATTTGTAGAGAAGCTTCTCTTATGGGATTTTCTATATGCTAAACTGGCTCTAGATCACCAAAGATAATAGGCCTGGGTGCTCTTAGCCAAAATGGAGCTTTTTCCAATATCTTTGCAGGAGGAAAACTGCTGCAGTAGTGCTTTTATCGCTCACTATATACTGCACAGTATATTGTCAGCTGTTCAGAAGCATTGGGTTCAGTGCCTCTGGGCTCTGTGCAAAGATAATTGTCACTTGCTTCTCCTAAGCTAAGCTAATAGCAAGAGGCAGTATCTATCTATCTAGTAACTATCTATAGAAGCCCTGCAACTTAACATGACTATTTACATCTTAAGAGGCTTTTTCTGCATTTCCAAAACTAATTTCCAGGGCTGGTACCTGCGGTTATTCCACAGGCTAGTTAATAACATGTCGGGCAGGAAATCCAAAGTGTGGGATCATTTTGAGAAGGTGAAGGACAAACCCAAGGTGATATGTAAACTCATCTTCATTGGTCGACTACAAACATGACGTATCATCTGAAACATGGAAGTAGCTACATGCCCATTAGCCTAGCCTGAGTGTCAGACTGAAGCTCCCAGAACCTTCAGTCTGACATGGCTTCCATTGAAGGCGATTTACAAGGGGGAGGGAATTTGATTTTTTCCCTAACCAATCAGTAGAGATCAACGACTCACCCAGAATCTGACGTCATTAGTATCCATGCCTCGGGGGTGCCGAAAACAAGCGAGCATTGCCCGTTTAAAATGTCTCCGTCGTCGTGCACGCCCAGCTGCATCGCCGTTAAATCCAGTTTAGCAGCTTCCTTAATTTGGTCCTCCATTAACGCGAGTAGTGGCGAAATACCTCGATAGCATCATTAATGTGGTCTGTAGGATCTGTAGCGGTCGCCATTGTTGCTATCCTCACCAGTTACCCACCGGCGTACAGCTTGACATCAGCGTGGCGCTGATTGGCTAATCGCTAGACCCTCGGCGTACATTGGTCCGTCCATCGTTTGGACGAGATAAATCGCAAATTCATTGAAGTATGCCAGACCAGAGATGCAAGCCTACTCAGTTGAGTGGGCGGGGTCTATGGTCTGGAACCAGGCGCCCATTAGCCCACAGCGTCATTAACAGGCGGCTCGCTCAGTGTGTGACGTGCACTTGGAGATAAAATATAGGCCTATATTAATGAAGGGTCATTAGTACGGTTTTGTATTTCTCTGTAATGTAGCACAGTGTTAACAATGTTACTGATACTATTCTTTCTCACACCTTCAACTCAAACCACCAAAATATGTCATTTAATCATTACATTAATATTGTAAACATGCAGGAGACTAGTCGACCACTGGACCTAAATGACGACTATTGTTTGAGTAGGAAAATTGTTAGTCGGGGGCAGCTCTTATTGACTCAATGTATTTATTTAAAAAGGTTTAGCAAAGGACAGAAGTTGAAGGATGTTTTGAGAAGCGGATCCTTATGAAGAAAAAAAAAAGGTTTCTATTCTTGACATTTTAAGTGAGACTGTGACCTTTGTAAGACTGCTAACAAAGGTCACAGTCTCCTCTTACAAATGAAAACTTTAATTATGAGCAGTGAAACACATTCTTGCTCACACATCAACACACTCAGCTGAGGGGTTTCTGCAGCCTGGTCCACCAGTCGCTTCAGGTGGCTAATAAAAACAAATCTTTGATATCTATTGCTGAATAATACACATTACTGAGTCAGTCTGAGTCCTCTCTACTTGTCAATCAATCAATCAATCAATCAATCAATTTTATTTATAAAGCCCAATATCACAAATCACAATTTGCCTCACAGGGCTTTACAGCATACGACATCCCTCTGTCCTTAGGACCCTCGCAGCGGATAAGGAAAAACTCCCCAAAAAACCCCCTCTAATGGTTTAGAGGGTTAAAACACTTGTG